TTTTTTTTTATCACAGGGTGCACAACTTGACAGGTTCGGTCGGCACGACCAATGAAATCAATGCGAGAAGGAGAGACAGACAAAAAGAACTTTTGCATTCTCTTCCTGTGAATAATTCGCATTGTTGGGACGAAGATTCAATAAAACTTAACACACTCTGTTGGTTTTATCAGTCCTTCACTTCATTGTTGGAAGACTGTTTGAATCTATGTCGGGGTCGATTCTTTAAACTGAAATTGTGTTTGCTGTTAATTCTTTGTTTCAATTAGCTCCAGATTCAACATTAGAGAAAGACGTCGAATGTTGCTGTACTCAAGAAGCGAATCACGTGATCGAGTAATAAAATTCAATCGGGTCTTGAGCATCGTTATTAATCGATAAACAAAACGCATTTAATATTTTACGTTTCACGCGTCTGTAAATATCGCCAAATTGTCGAGACAGAAGACTCTGACATAATTAATTTATTACATTTGGGTTGTTGTCACTAATCGCGACAATGGAGTTTTTATTATCTACGATGACTAATTATTTGCATCAACCTCAAAGCGAGCAAAAAGAATGCCAGACCGGACTGAGGTCTTTTACGTATTTTTTTTGTTTTCCGAATTACGTGAAGGGCCGTCAGCTGAAGTAACCGCAGACTTCTTCGTTATGCTTTTCGTGTTCATTCGTCGCATTGTGTGATTTGTGTAAAAGAAGAGATTCCAAGAATGCCTACAGCACAACCAAAGGATACGAACAGTTCAGGTAAGTTTTCTGCATTCGTCAGTACTTCCAGTCATTCTATGTTACTTTTCTTATATATTTATTTTTGTTTGTTTGTTTGTTCATATATTTATTTTTGTTTCGTATGTTTCAGGTCCCGCTCATGTCCTGTGCCTCAACGTGGCGAGCGGGTGAAACAAAGAACGGTGCACTGCCGAAATTTAAGTCACTGTTACATGGAATTCAAAACCCTCAATTTTGGTTTAACAGTTTTATCTTTTGCACGGATATGTTTATAATTCCTGATACCAGATATCATCTTATTACGTAATAATTGCCCACAACACCTATTAGTTGACTCATATTCGTCTCTCCTTCAATGTAAATCGAATAATTTTAATTAACCAATTTATTTGTTTCCCTTACAAAAATTCAGACCACATTCCGAGCCCTTAAGTACCATTTCAGTGTACGTAAATGCATGTTAGGTGCATTTAAATCCGTATTGATTATACCGAAAAATTCCAATGTAATAATAAAAAGGTGTTTTTCGTTCAGGACACCTATATGCTGCCTAGGGGTGTCCAGTATTTAGTAAACAGACCGCACATCAGTACTTTCGGCGATTTCGATGGCGTACAATTAGAAGATGATATTCATTGAATTTTATGTAAATATTGTGTAGGGCATGAGATGAGCATTATGCCCATCCCTACACCTTCAATTCCAGACATTTCTTCTCTCAGATGAATAACCCACACAGGGAGACACCTCCAAAATTGTATTCGAGTCATAAATGTGGACTTTAAAATAAATCTAAGTGAACGAAACATACAGTAGCATTTATAAGCCTGTCCCATGCATCGAGTATGATCATTTATTTGCCAAAAGGCTTAAATTAAAAGACACATAAGCGCTTAAACTCTCAAAATGGAAGATTTTGTGCAGGTATTCCAGATCGCTTTTGGTCAATATCTGTGAGGTAGGACAATGTTACTTGTGGACGGACAAGATTAACCCTTTAAAGCGAAGTGGTAATTATATGTACCACATGCTTTAACAGTCTGTCGCTCTGCATTTTGTATTCATGTGTTTCTTACGATTCTCACTATAAACAGTGATTATTGACTTAAACAGCGTTAACTGTTTTATCCTTGTAATGGTAAGGCGTTGTGTTTTCTTCGCGGTACGGACTGAAATCTTCAGTAGTATTTAGACGAGCGAAGAGTGAAACTAATAGGTGGCCTTTGAAATGCAAAAAACAATGGTTTATTCTGATTCATGAAAATAAAGGTTGTCAGTTAAGGGAAATTTAGACAGGCACCCAGAAATACTTACAGAGTAAAATCAAGGACTGTTTTGCCACTTACAACAGCGTAAGTGTACTCTACTTCAAATCGGCGCTTCCGACGATACATCAGTGGTGAATCAAGCAATTTGAAATTATCAGTTATGTGAATGCACCGTTCTTTGGCCAAACAGGATAAGTTTACTGAAATGCCATTTTGATGTAATTTCTTTGTTACTGCATCGTTCTTCCATGCCCTTCTCTGGTTATTTATTGTTCATCTGTTACGAATACTGCCATCGCAATTTCAGCCTGTAACCTAGCAATCTCAAGTAAATTTTTGTGTGCGAGTTGGCATGTGCATAGTGTTGATAACTTACTGGTCTTCTAGTTACAGAATTTATTTGCTTCTGCAAAATTCTTTACCAAGTTAAAAACAAAATCTTATGGGAAATACAGACGTAGGTTCCATTTTAACAATATATCTCAGTAACATTCTTGGCCTTGAAGAGTACTGACGTCCCTAAACAGAATGGAACAAATATAAAATTGATTAGAATATGGTGGATTTTGGGCTGAACAAAAGAAAGGATGAGGAAGTAAGAGAACAGTGAACAGGGTTTTCCCTATGTGTCTGGAATTAATGACAGAAATATGTTTTTCTTCTTTCAAATTCTTGTAATGGTCAAAACATTTATGTCCTGTCTGGCATCCTCCAGCACTCTGACGAGTTCTTAGAATTGTAATTTTAGTAAACAATTCATTATTAGAATTTATGACTAATCTGAATTATAATATATTACCAAATTGCTCATCAGGAATGATGAGAAAATGTGGCACATTTTTGTTGTAGAGCATAACAAAGCAGCATATGGATTTAAAGTATTGAAGTTTTGCTTAATTACAGATAATTAGATGAGTGACCAGTCCTTTGCATTGTTTCTATGACACGGCATATAAAAATGAAAATCATTACATACCTTTGCAATTCATTGACAGTGACGTTGCTATGGTAATGTCAAAGTGACACGAAACAGCCAATTTTTCCATTTCCATGGATACTTCTGCATTCGTCTTTTGTGTATACATATTAGTTCTATAAAATAATGGTCGACCAACCGCAGACGGATATGATCATGGTAACGCCGTCATCATCGTCCCACCTCAGGACTCTGCACATTTGTCAGCTTGGTAGTGCCAACTTTAGGAATTAAAAAATATATTAGTTTAGAGCAGTCCACAATTGCATAACGTCCATAACAAATTTAATGAAAATCTGTCTAGACATCTCTGTAAACAAGCAACATAATGAGTGGTGATGTAGTAAGAGGCGTTATGAGTGTGCGCAAAGGACATGTGTAATGGTTTTGTGACAAAACACACACATTACCACTACTACTACTACTACATTCCCTGGGTCCGTAAGTTAGGCACATGACAAGAGGAAGTGGAATAAATCATAAAAAATACAATATGTAAAAACAATGTGGAATAAGTCATAAAAAATACAATATGTAAAAACAAGTGGAATTTAAACTACTATAAACTTTTCACGGAGAATAAGTAAATATTTCACATAAAGTATTGAACTGTTTGAAATAAATCCACAAATACACAGCAAATAAATTATACTACCCATTTATACCGTACAAAGGCAAGAACACCTTTAAAACCATTATGAGTCATTTTCTGTCATTAGAAATTCACCAAGAGAGTAAAACGTGTGGTTTGACACTGCCCACAATTCTAACCATTTTGTTCTGTGAAATCTCATGATTTACACAGTCAAAAGCTGTTGCTAAATCACAGAATATCCATCCAACATGCTTTCTTTCAAATCGATTTTAACAGATTATTAGTTTGAATGTTGTATCTTCAGTGGATACACCTTTCCTAAAACCAGATTGTTCTGGGAACAATATTTTGTTAGTATGCATATGATGGTTTAACCTACTGTACATAATATCCTCAAGTACTTTAGAAAATGTAGTCAACATCAAATTGGCATGTACTTAATCTTACTAGTTTTTTCACCTTTTTAGTACAGTGGTTTTAGTACTGAGATTTTAAGACGGTCCAGGAAAATGCCTATGTATAGTGGGTGATTACAAATGTGGGCTAATGGGTGATTAATTAAACCTGAACAAGCTTTCAAAATTTTATTTGTTAATTCATCATAACCTGATGAGTTTTTTTATATGAGTGAATGTATTATACTTTTTATCTGTTTCCGTGGTTGGAATAATTTTAATAGTATGCCATTTTATAAGACAGGCTTACTTTAAAAATTAAATAGCATCTTCACTTAAATTAATTTTATACTTTCAGTAACTGTTAGAAAATTAGGTAATGTATAAAGATTACTATTATTTACCTTTGCGTAATTAAATAATACATTACGATATGCACCGCAGTCTCACATCGAGGTTATAACTGTGCCACGTGGTAATTCATGTACATAGCAGGTATCCCAGAAGAGCGTTGCTATGGTAACGTTTATGAAATTAACCTATGCAGCCCAAAACCACTAAAAGCGATGGTCACCTTCCGTTGCAACGGCAATAACAAAACGTTCAAAAAATTTGATCACAAAATCCCTAAACAACAGCAAATCATTGCCAAAGAACCAACACTTTTTCCTCAAAAATCAATATACAGAAACATGAATATGACGTCAGTATTCTTCAGTGCGTAAGCGTTTTGCATGTGGCTGTTGAGCTACTAAGGGTACGAATGTTTAGTTTGTGTGGTTATTAAAGTTGATACAATTAAGTTTTAGGCAGAATGCCAAAAGTTAAAGCCGAAAAAAAGTCAAGGCAACATGCAGCTGTTGCCAAACAAGGTATTTCAGTAACTGTTATAAATGCAGCGATGTAAGGAATTGTGAGGTTATGTCTGTAACATTCCTTAATTTCCTGAATTGTTCCAGGAATCCTTTTCATCAAGAACTTCGGTCAACATATTCTGAAGAATCCACTTATAATTCAGAGTATGGTGGACAAATCTGCCCTGCGACCTACGGATGTCGCTTTAGAAATTGGTCCTGGAACGGGAAACATGACAATTAAGCTGCTTGAAAAAACAAAGAGAGTAGTGGCATGTGAAATCGACCCTAGATTGGTTGCAGAATTGCAGAAACGTGTTCAAGGCACACCATACCAATCCAAATTGCAGATTATGATTGGTGATGTTTTGAAAACAGAATTGCCTTTCTTTGATGTTTGTGTTGCCAATATACCATACCAAATCTCATCCCCGTTAGTATTCAAACTGCTTTTGCACAGACCCTTCTTCAGATGTGCAATTATCATGTTTCAAAGAGAGTTTGCACAAAGACTTGTTGCAAAGCCAGGTGACCAGCTGTATTGCAGACTGTCTGTTAACACCCAGCTGCTTGCCAGAGTGGACATTGTTATGAAGGTTTGTAGTCAATAAAATCTTCTCAGGTATTCAGCTGCTTCAACTGGTTTACTACAGTAACCAGTTGATGCAGCTGATTGCCCGAGAAGATTATATTGATTGTACTCACTGCAAAAGTCTCATATCCTGTATCAAGGTTTGTAGTGTTTATGAATGCCAATTACAGTTTCTATAAGATGTTGAAGAGGTTTACAAAGACATAAAAAGGATATGTCTTTTAAAGTGAGTTTCAATGAGATTTTGAAGACAGTCATCTTTAGACTCACCACCATGAAAACCTCAAATCCTATTCAATGAGATTTATTCCATGTCCCCCCCCCCCCAAAAAAAAAAAGGGCTCAAGAAGGATGTAATTTATAACACCCAAGTTATGTTGGTAAATTTGTTAGTTAAACCTATTTCTTGTGAATATCTGCCCATTTTGCCAGTGTGAGAAAATAATTTTTCAAGATGTGGGTGACATTGAGCTACCTAGAAAAAAAGTGTGATGGGTAATGCACACAGAACACTATTTTGTATAAGTGTCTTGAAAGCCATGCTATATGCTTCCTCAATCCAAGAAGAGGGCTGGTGATTCAACTGTTACAAAAATAATTTATCAGATTGTATATTATGTATTTATCATCAAGTGGTGCTTATTTGTGGAGTTTGTGACTAGAAATTACTGTATACTCTCATGATTTTTGTTTTCGTGTGTACAAACATGATATTTCAGGTTCTTGTGCTGGTGAGGATGAAGATGAAGGTCTTTTGGGATGTTGCACCATGTATTCTGGTAGAAGTTAATGACATCACCATGATGATGGAGGCAGTAAGTATCTCTGAAACACTAATGGACTTCTACCAGATTACACGGCACAACACCCCAGGAGACAGCCGTTATTGTAATGAGGACAAAACAACTGTTGCTGACATCATGCTTTGATTGGAATTATTCTTTCATAAGGTTGGCAAGAACAATTTCCGGCCACCACCTAAAGTGGAATCTAGCGTTGTGCGGTTGGAACCTCGAAATCCACCGCCACCAATTAACTTCACTGAGTGGGATGGTCTTACTAGGATAGCTTTTGTGCGTAAGAACAAGACGCTGAGTGCAGCGTTCAAACAGACACCGGTTATTGCTGCACTGGAAAAGAACTACCAAATTCACTGTTCTCTCAGTAATGTTGTGAGTAAATTATAATATTCTAAAATGATGTTGGAGTATGTTTGAAATTGACATATCATTGCAGAGCAGAGATAATTTCAGAGGTTATGTGTGTCTATTGTGATCTGTTTTGTGGTTCAGTTTGGTATGAAATATTCATTATTTGTTTGAGTCCACAGTTCATTCAAAATTGTATAAGTGAAGGTTGTATTATGGAAGGTTTTCCAAGGGTTTCCTCTCAAATTTGTTTTATGAAGTTTTACAGTATTTGTTGTTCAGCATTGGTGATAAATGTCTCAGCAATTGATATATATTATCATCTTAATTTACAATAAACATTTTTTTCCCAAAAAATAATTCTGGCCCTTCTTAGGGGAGGGATGTATTTACGTACATTCATATTATAAACTCTGAATAAAATTTTATGAGTAGGACAGTTCACTGCAAGTTGTCTTAGTATCACAATAAGTGAGATTTTTATCTTCACCCAACTCTTGGCTGGAGGTTTGGTACTTTAATTTACCACTAAATGATATAGTATTTTATACTGTAGAATGTTCCAGACAACTTTAACATGAAGCAGAAAGTTGACAACATTTTAAAGAGCTGTGAATCTGAATCAAAGCGAGCCAGATCTATGGACATTGATGATTTTATGATGTAAGTATATGTAATCAGTGTAGCTATAAGCATGAGAGAATGTGTTAATTTAATATGCAAATGAATGAATTATCTGTGTTGTGTTTGAGGTGAAGCTGTTGATGTTGGTCTGGGTTGTGGCACTGTCTGGAAAATCCTACTGTCTCCATCATCAGTGCCGAAGCATCACAACCCAGAAGAAAATGTTGATTAATGAATGAATTAATTCTTCAGCATCTGAATTCCTTCTTCTAGCGCTGTTTCTAGTTTATATGTTTTGATGGTTTGAATTTGTATTACAGTGAATTGTCATTACAATGAACATCTATATAAAATATTCAGTTTTCTTAAATATTTCTCACTGTCTCTACAGTGCGTAATATGGAGTGGGCAAAAATGGTGGACATATATGAATCATGAAGGAGAACATGTTGTATGACTTACAAAACATGAGTTTCAAGAGAATACTTTTTCAGGGCAGAGTTTTGAAAACAACATTTTTACGTTGTGCCATATATATATATATATATTATAAGCTGTCAGCTTGAAATTAGCCTTGTCAAATATGATTAGGCACTAAATATCTCTCATTCTCCTTGAACATCTGGAAACTGTTTAATTCATCCTTCAGCATGGCCCACAGTGTCTGTTGTCTTGTGTTCGGTGCCCATGACAGTCCTACTGAAGACTGAGCCTCCAATTAATGATATATTATAGTTCTTAGTAGCTCTTACAGTCTGTAATGAACTTGCAAGATATTGATAAAGCTGTGATGCTTCTTGTTTTAGGCTTCTTCATGCTTTCAACACTGAGGGAATACACTTCTCATAACATCTTTGTAGTTGTGGTATCAAGTGTGATATATTACATGGAAGGCGTGATTAAAATATTTGTAAACCAATGAGAATCCAACCCTTTATGCAACTGTTGGAGAATGCAAATAAATTAATTCAGCCTTACATTTTTTTTCAAAATAAAATGATTAAGTAAACTAAATTGTTGTTCAGAACACTTAATTGTACACATCCCAAACATTCTTCATATATGTATCCTAAAGAGTTCCTACTCATGTGAACCACATTTATCTATGTAGAACAGGGGTTCCAACTCCTTTTCTTTGGGGTGCCTGCCTGCATATTTATAATGCTGTATCATTCTCTAAGGTCAAAAACAGTTAATGATACACATTAAATATTAAGCTAATAATTAATACAAGTAACAAATCAATAAATATGTTACAGAGAATTTTTGTGTAATATGTGATCCTGTCTATAATAGTGAGTTGCTAGTATTTGTAATAAATTGGCATGAATTTTCAATGTGATTTGTAACTGGCAGCCAGCCCATGAGGAAAGGTTAATGCTGGTCCACGTCTTAAAAGGTTATGAATCCCTGATTTGGCATTTCAATACTGGAACTCGGTTACTGCACACTACTGTTTATTCCCTGCTGATATATCATTATCACAGGATCGAGACCAATGGCAAGCAATCATGAAAGAGGCCACATGGACTGTGGTGCCTATAGAGGAAGAAGATATATCTTTATACTGTATTATTTTCATGGCTGTAATTCAGAGACCTATTGTGGCAGAAGTGTGAAAATTAACACAAAGGTGCAAGAGAGTATAAATGAATGAGTGAAGTTGAGTTCTCACTGCTACATGGATTTATTAGAAAAGTGGAGGTGTTGAAGATTGTTGTCTTCTGGGTTGTTGCGCCATGTAGCCTGGTAGAAGTTTACCTTCATTTCAGAGGTCCTGATAATGGAGGCAGTAAGGACCTCTGAAACGTTGGTAAACTATTACCCGACTACACGGCTCAACAACCCAGAAGACAGCCATCTTCAAACTCACCGCCGTGAAAACCTCAAATCCTTCTTGTCGTCTGTCTCGTGACGTCAAAATTTAGGAAAGTGGGGAATACGATACCATAAATGAATTCATTTCTACTGAAAAATGATTGCACAGACGTAAACGTTTAAACTTTATTTTAAGCATTTCACCCTGTAATACAATTTTGAAATTTCAAATATAGAAGTTATTCGCGATGTGTTCGTAATGAGTAGAGAGAACGCTAGAACAGTCTGCCATCTACAAAGCTTCTTTCAAGTCTGTTCGTAAGAGTAGAGAGAACGCTAGAACATTCTGCCATCTACAAAGCTTCTTTCAAGTAACGTGGCTCAGTTGCTGGTTTGGTGGATCTATACTAACTCGTAATCATTGGTTTTACGCAAATGTAGATTATATTTGCGGTTTGTTAGGTGAGATGAGGATCATAGACTGCTGAATTAATATCTCCAAATGATAATTTGCAGCTGAACACTCTACAAGAAGAAATAGTTATAACAATCAATTGATGTGAGTGTTCTTTAAGCGTAAATTGTTGGGTAATGTAGATATCACTGGAAAATGTACTGGAATCGTTCTTGAAGTACATGGGATAAAAATTTCTTAATGTTGTATTTAATGCAGTGGGGTGAGAATTTTGTTTTTCAAATTTGAGCCCGTGTTTGATTGTGTAAACGTGTCTCTTTCAAATGTAGTTTGTAATGGAAATAGTCTTCAGAGTGAATGGAAGTGAATAATTTGTGGCTTAAAATCATGTGTTCTCGTGCCACAGTTTTGAAGTTTCGGAATACAGAGCCGTGTGAAAATGTGGCAATTTATTAAAAACATCAAAAATAAAATTAATGTGAAGAACATCAATACTTGACCTCCAAGGTTGTTTCATCGGAGGTCGATCCATGTAATTTGCTCTTATTGGTTACTGACTGGTGACGTCATGGAGACCAAAAGGCGGTATTTCAAATTAGAATTCAGATCGACACTGCACTTGAGTAGGATTCGTTTCTTATGTCGGCTTTGAACAAATAATCTTTCTACTTAACCTTCTCTGATTTCACTTCTTAACAATCCATCCATATTTATAAATGTGTAGTCAGTGCCATTTTTGTAAGAAGGACAGAGACAATGAACATGAAGTGAAATTGTAAAATATATACATCCAGCATTAATTTGTTTGAAAAGTTGAAGTGAAAAATTTAAATTTGAGTGATTGATGTTGAATATGTTAAGCTGGTGGATAGATAGAGTTCTCAATGTTTTTGATTGTTGTTTTGGGTTGTGATGCAGATTATGGAGACAATGTGTAGGATTTTAGCTTCTCATGGTGGTGAGTACAAAGATGGCTGTCTTTTGGGTTGTAGTGCTACGCAGTCTGGTAGAACTTTACTGATGTTTGTATTGAGTCCTGGTGATGGAGGTGGCAAGGATATCTGAGACATTGGTAAAATTGGCAGGATTTGAGATTTTCATGGCGGTGAGTCTGAAAATGGCTATCTTCTGGGTTGTTGTGCAGTGTAGTGTGGTAAAAGTTTACCGACTTTTCAGAGGTCCTTGCTGCCTCCATCATCGGGACAGTGAGTGGTAAACATCTGCCAGACTGCATGTCACTACATCCTAAAAGATAGCCATCTTCATGGAGAGAAATGTTGGTATGTATGTACCTATGAGTCCACTCAGCATCTCAAACCATAAGAACAAAACCTATGTTTTCATTGTCACAAGAACCTCAAATCTCATGGCTAATATTTATTATTTTGTTTTTGCAGACTGGTTGAATATCAGAGGGTCTTGGGGAAACTATTTTGAAGTTCCTTCATACACAATGGTATTAAGAGCTTTCGTACTTTCTTGTTTAAGTTGAAGAACGTACTGCACATCAATGAAACAGAGTTGATGTAGTATGATGAAGTTACATATTGCTTTCCAGCTAAAAGAAATTGTTTTAATCTGATGTCCAAATAAATGGGTAAGTAATAACATCAGATTGTTACGTGTTTTTGTATAAGTGAAATATTCATTAAATAGAATTATAATTTTTGCCCACAGCACAGTTCTTTGAGTAAGCTGAAAACACGTGCAGTGATCTGTGGAATGCGTTTCTTAATTTCCAGTTCTGATTGCTGTTTAAATGTTGAAACTATTTTCATCTTTCTATTTAATATGTATCAGTAGCCTGTTTTTAGGAAATGTCTTTATGCCTTTCTTGGCATGACCACTTTTGCAGCATCCTGTCTGAGGTTTGCAATGTTAAATTCACTATTTATGCATGACAGCTTGTAATGACTTGTAGATTGACCAGTATAGTTTCTGAAGAAACACTTAATATTTTTCAATCAGAGTTCTTTTTTGATGTTTAAATACACCCATGTTCACAACTATAACCTGCCATACCATTTAAAAAGGTTGTTTCAAGTACTAGTGTTCAGATGCTTACTTCTTTGTATATGAACATTGATTCTCATCGGCAGTGCGTGTAATAGAAGTGTAAGTTGTAGGAAACTGGGTTGTTAATTACTAGGTTTGTGCCCTGCCGTAGTTTAGTGTCATCTTTCTGGTATGCAGTACAAGATTTGTCTAAATTATAATTTTATAACACAGCATTAAAAGTGGAAGTTATTCTTAAAGAGATAAAAGTGTAATGCTGTATGATAAGTTTGACACCAATTTACTTGAAATATGCATGTGTTTGTGTTGAACATGCTGTAGTAGGAGTAAAAATACAAGAATTTGTCTTCATTGAGCAAATATACAGGAAAGCACAGTATACAAACTATGGTCTAAGGTGTATATATACAAGGTATGGTTTCTGCCAGAAAAATGTCCTGTTGTGTTCTTAGCGTGGGTGTGCATCATTTGGCTATCATTTAAATCATTTAGCTTGTTAGTTATATTTGCATGGAGAGATTTTTCATATATTATTTACTGAATTATCAAAATCATGGTTTACTTTGAATGCAGTTTAATTTATGCTAATCTGCAGGTGCAAGCACATATATTCATTAGTATTTTGCTGAATTGTGACACTTTATATATAACGTAAGTTCACCTACCTTTCTTGTGTTAGTCATCTGGGTTGTAATATAGCATTACAACACAGAAGGTGACATCAACATCTTCGCCATCGTGAGAATCTCGGATCTCATATTCCTTTCTAAAGTTAAGTATCCAAGAAACATACAGTATTTTTACAAGATGTTCTGGAGTTTATATTTGATATATTCCTGAAATCATGTATGTAATTTGAAGTAATGCAAGTTCTTAACTAAGGCAAAATCATTTCTGGTTATCAGCCAGGAATTTAGACTTCACATGTGTAATTGTGACTGAGATATGTATCACACCTTTTTAACATAGTTTGCAGGCACATAAATATCTACTTAATTAATACGTAATACTGTACTCATACATTTTCAAGACTCTCGGGTTACAAGCCGCATCAGGTGGCTGAATGGTGAATAAACCAGATCTTCTGCATATGTTTCGAGAGCAATCTCTGCTCTCATCCTGAGGGCTGCTGTGTAACAAATCTGGTCCTTTGTAGCATGTAGTTCCCATCGACTAGCACGCTATAAAGGACCAGATTTGTAATTGTAAGATATGGTTTATTCACCATTCAGCCACCTGACAAGGCTTGTAACCTGAGAGTCTTTCATCAACTTCAGTTGTTGCGAAAGCTTCACTTTATACATTTCTTTTCTTGCTGCTGTACTATTCACTACTCTACAGTGATTTCTTGCTTTCCAAACTTGCAAGCTAAATTAGTTAACTCAAGTCCAGTCAAAATTGTTCCTTGGCAAATTATGATTATGTTAATTTATTGATTTATATGCTAGGTACTCATTCTGTGTTTCAGGTGAATTCTTGGATAAGGGCAGTTTCGCCCTTTTCAGTTATTTAGATTAAACTATTGCATTTGTACGCTCTGCAACAAGGAATGTTTCTTAAACCAAACGTCTTGCATACAGGTCAGTTTCTTGGTAACAGACCGATACCACAGGGATTGCCATTGAGCCATAAAATACGATGTTGTTGTGGCTTTATAAATAAACTCACTTTGCAGATTCTGTATGTTGTTTTGACCTTTAATGTTAGGTCTACAGATTTGAAACTATAGAATAGGAAAAGTAAATTAATCCTTTTTAGTATTTTTATCCTCACATCAAACCTCACTGTAACAAATTAAAACATTTTGGTTCACATTTTATGAATTGGATTTTGGTTATTAGGATTATAAATGGATATTTTATTCAAATTCTGTCTTCTATCTCCAGATTTTGAAGTAATTGAATAAAATTTTGTACATTTTCCTCCTGTGCACATATGTTTCTATACTATAGTCAGCAATAAAATAGACTTTGGAATATTTATTTTTGTTGAGATGTAAATAGAAAAAATGTTCTCACAAGACACAAATTATCAGTACATAGGGCATTTAATGAAATTTGCATTGTAACCTTCAATAGTGAGAGCATACAAAATGAAACTGGCAACTTGCATTATTGTAACTTAGATCTGAGTCCCATTTAACTAAACAGATTTGTACTACTACTACTACATTGTGACTGTAGTTGCAGAAATTAAAGTTAAAAGTATGGACCACTGATGAAATTATGAACAGACCCTTGTTAACAAACATATTGTTCGATTAAAATCGCAGAGACAATAATCACACTTTCCTTTCCTGCGTACAGCCCCATAATATGCCACTGCTTTGGGGAATTGGTTTTACATTGGAAGGAATGAATTAATAATTGAAGTATACTTCACCTTGGTATTGTGTATAAATAAGCAGGTTTATCTTAATTTCTGTTTGCTGTATTTAGTTAGCGCTTGTCCTTTATCAGTATTGTAGTGATACCTCAAGCCTGACAGTATATTGTGTGTTGTACAGATGCATTCAGTTTTTGAGCTTTGAAAATAATTTTCCACACATTCATAATTACATTTTTTATGTTATTTTCAAATTTGATGTTGTTTGTTTCCTAACTTATTAATATGCTGTGTCTGAATCTGTAATAGTAGAAGGTAAAGTTGTCCCTGATGCTTAATTAAGTACTGCACCATACAGATGTGTGTGGGAGTGGAGGCAGCTCCACACATTCTTAACTTCAGCACTAGGAGAGGGTCACTGAGTGGTCAGTTTTACACCCTGGCTGCCTTACCCACATGGAAGGAACCACAGTTTCTATTGGATAGGAAAATGGGTAGGTTCCAGAGCTGGATGGACGTTGTGGCAAAGAGAAGAATTGTGTTCAACCAGGAATTGAACTCCAGTCATCCAGCCTGTAACCTAGTCACTATACTGACTGTGCTGTGAATCTGTAGTTGTATAAGGTGACTGAGAATAACTCTGTTCCTTAGGACATGTGTTTGAAACCCACAGTTCTTTTTACTTGGTTATGGGGACAATAAAGCCACTCTTTGGCTTCGTGCATACAGCTCAGAACCTTTGCTGAAAAATGTCTAAATGCTTTTTCTGTAAAATGTAAATTATTTCATAGTGATTTTCTGCATTTCAGTAGTGGCTGGAGACTTGTTTCCACTTAAAGTTAATGGTGCCTCAGTGAAATACAGAAAGCATTATATCATCTGTTGTTTGAAAGATTACTTCATCTGCATGCATAAGACTTCATGGCTGTTGTTTTGTATGGCTGTGACTTCAAAAATTATGTTTTGATGTGAGCTCAGAGCCTTCTGACATGGCACACTGAAGAGGAAAACAACAAAATTATTTTTGTGGGCCTCTAATTGTGCACCACTATCATGAGATTTTATGTCAGACAAAATATTCCATTTTTGTGTTCTCGTCTTGTCCAACACCACATCTTATTGCTTGACACTTTTCCATTTTTGTTCTACACAGCACAGTAAAACCAATATGTTTTATGGTGGTGTGTTGAGTTCTCTACAAAAGCATTATGAGTTCTTTTTTGAATACTGTACTTCATATCGCAGTTGCACTGAAACTTGAATATAACTTAATCATTCACATACATCATTTGCAAGGCTATTGATTGACCTTTTTCACAACAGAAAATGGAAGTAAATTGGCAGGGATAATTAAAATGTTTGTTATAAATTATTTGTTGCGTAGATATAGTCCTTTGTGGGGAGAAGGTGCTGACGATAATTTAAATTTGTGTATTAAACTGTGTGACAGCAGAAGGAAAGCCTGTAACAGCAGCAGTAGTACCACCACCACCACCAATAATAATAATAATAATTGGAAGAGAGGAATATTTGTTTCTTCTCTTTCTTCCAACCTAAAAATCTTTATGTGGTAATTATGCCCTTCAGCACACTTGATACTCTAAAATTTCTGTTCTGTTGCCTGAGGGATGATATAATTGTATTGAAACATGTCACCATATCAAAAGGCCGTAACAATTTTAGAATATCAAGTGTGTTGAAGGTGCTTCCATTGTGAGATTCTGCATGTTCAAAATTTCTGTTTTCTATGGACATTAAACCTTTGTGATCTATACATGTTATTTCATGGCATGAACTGATTTAACACCTGGAACAAATTATGCTCTCAGAAATTATGGTGGACTGACAGTTTTAAGATCAGTGCTGAAGAATATTTTATTTTAAAGAATTGTAGTTGGGTGCCACGAACTCCAGAGGCTGTAATTTCATGTTGACGGTATTTGAAGTAGTATCGAGGGATTTCATGATTCCTGTTTGGTGCTAGTTTTGCTGATGTGTTTTGTATTGATTTAAAATTGTGATTTAGGCCAGGCAGAATCAAATGAGATGGCTCCAAGAAATGGGATGGCAGGAATGGATATGGACCGTCCTCGGATACAGGTGGGTTCTGATTGTTTACCCAGTTTGACCTTTTCATTGGATACAACTTGATGTTCCTGACTTTAGTATGTAATTTACTAGGATATCATGAAAGAGCACATTGTAATGGTTTGCTGCAGTCTCTAATGCATACACTCCCACACATACACATTTCAAATATTGACCCAGAAGAAGAAAATTCTTATGAAGGTCTGCAGAAAAGAAGGAACATTTCTTTTTAATAACACTTTTAACAGAATGAATGGGCTTAAAACTGTGAAAACCGACAATGAAAGTGCCAGTATTCAAAAGACCATGAATTTGGAAAAAATGTTATGTTACAGGTTTAACGCAGTGCACTTACATTCTTCACATCAGAAATGTAATTATCTTTGAGCCATGTATCTGTGTAATTAGGTAGTCAGAAATTAATTTAAAATGATTTCTTTGTAAGTGCACTATTGCTTTTTTTTAGTTGATGGATCCGAATAGAGAGTTCAGAGGACCGAGCTTTTTTCGAAATGAAATGCAACAGCAGCAACAGAGAGTACAACAGCAGCAGTTACAACAACAAGTTTCTCCATACCAAAAACCACATCAAGAGCTACAACCACGACAACAAATTCCTTCCTTCCAGAAACCACAACAGCAGCAGATTCCAACTTTCCAGAAACCACAACAGCACATTCAACAACCAATATCCCCATTTCAAAAACCACAGCAGCAGCAACAACCACAACAACAACAACAACAACAAATTTCTTCTTACCAAAAAGCGCAACAGCAACAAATTCAGCAGCAGCAGCACCAGAAAGCACAACAACAACAAGAAATTCATCAACAGCAGGATCAGTTGCAACAACAAATACAGCAGCAGATAGAACAGCAACAAATTCAACAACAAAAGCAGCAGTTTCAACAGTTGCAACCGCAAGACCTTCAGCTCCAGTCATCATTCAAGCAGAAACCTAAATTGATTGATCTCCAGGTATATATCAGTTCAGGTACATTTTTAGTTTAATTTTGCTCCTCAATAGTCTCTTTGACCTTTTCTTTGTCTCAGTCTTCATGCTGTCATTGTTTCCAGAACTGGCTGGATCTCTCTTGCATACTTCAGACTGACTTGGGTGTGTTGTGTCTATGCATTTTCTGCTTGCTCCACGTTACCTTTTTTGCAGTAGGATTTATTTTATTAGTATCCTTAGTTTATCGCTTCCCTGATATCTCAGCCACTGAGTTATGCTAGGTTTAGGTGCTGTAAGATATATTTTCTCATTGCCGTAGACAATAACTTATCAGTGACAAAAGCTTGGGTTGTTGGTCAGTATTATTTGATAAAATTATTGTTTTGAAAGGAGTTGTTTGGGGTCCTCAGTGGCCGCGCGGTCTGAGGCGTGGGTCTTGTGCTGCTTGGTCGCAGGGACCGTGTCAAGCCATCGATGTTTTTCTGTGTTGTGATGTCCTTTGTACAGGTAGAGGCCTTGCGATGGGCCGATCCCTCGTCCAAGGAGTTCTACCGAATGGCCATAGATCAAGCCAACTGAAAAAAGTTTGGGGACCCGTAAAGGGTACCGGAAAATGTAAAGACTTTGTTAAACCGGAAAAAGAAGAAGAAAGGATTTGTTAAGTTCATTAAAACATAGGGCCAGACTGTCCACTAAAAAATTATTACTTAGTATACACAAACATACACACTCATACATTTAAAAACGAAGGAATTTGCAGTAATTAACACTGTTTTGTAATGTGTTGCGTATATTGATCCCTCAAGAATAATCTGAGAGATCCTTACATGATGTTATAATTGAAGGTTGAATCAACTGACATTAAATAATTTCCTTTTATAAGAATATTTATATAAAAGCTCACCATTTTTATAATTGTACACAACAATATTGTTAAGGACAGTGAATATGAGTAGCTCATACCTATATTACTTTAAAAGTATCTGCTTCAGATACTTCATGTGATATGATCAAATCACCACCTACCCAATGTGTGAATTTCAGAACTATAGGGTACAATCTCATTGCCTTTCAGTGGACCTGAAATCATTCGTCTTCTCTTGTGTCTGTAATGCTGGTCTTTAGAGAACATTGAATAATGAATGTTATGAGGATCAACAGTTTGTATCTTTACCACTGATTGCCTGCGGTTGATACCTGCATCCACCACATTCACACTTATAATGACAGTGATTCCGCTGAAGTCAGGAGTAGAGGCATCTCCTTTAATATTTTATATATTAGACAGTAGACATTATCCAATGTAATATTCTTATAATGAATTAGCCATTGTGACATACCTTAAGAGAACTGTGA